TGCACCCACTCATTAAATCTCTGTTATCTGTAAATTTGTTATTTTAGCAGGATATTAGATTTAATTTTTTTTTTAAATAAAGCTAAAATAATGAACAAAAATATAACTAATTCTCAAAATCAGAAATAATCTTAAAAAGTGAATGTAATGGTGAATATTATATATACACTTAGCAGTTATCTGATGCATCTTTGCAACTGTTAGTTGATGTTCCTATCTGATTGCAATCATGTGGAACAACTAGATAGATAGATAGATAGATAGATATCCCGCAGTTATCCTTAGCAATAGATGGTGCTTTAAACACAGCTTTTATTGTAACCATAGCATGATTTTATTCACAGATTAAGTGAAAAGTGAGCAAAAGGAGGAGAAATAAAAAAAAATATATTTATATATTATGTATTTAATAAATATATAAATACATATATTGTTACTGCTTTTTATCTTATTCACTGTATTGTTTCTTTATTTTTTATTGGCTTCTCACTTGGTCTTTGAACCAAATTGCAGGAAAATGCTACTATGGGTGTATTGCAAAATATATACATTATATTTATATTATGTATATATTTTGCAGTACACTGATTGACCCACTTACCAATTGACCCATCAGCTTTAATTTGAGGGTATTCACATCTAAATTGGAAGATGGGTTAATGAATTACAACTCTTTAATATGTAGCCCCCACTTTTTCAAGGGACCAAAAGTAATTGGACAATTGATTCAAAAGTTTTTTCATGGATGGGTGTTGGCTATACTTTCATTATTTCTTCATCAGTTACGCTGGTAAAACGTCTGCAATTGATTCCAGGTGTGGCATTCACATTTGGAAGCTGTTGCTATGAACCCAAACATTAGGTCAAAGAGGCTCTCATTGCAAGTGAAAAAGTCCATACTTTGGCTGCAAGAAAAAATAAGAAATCCATCAGAGAGGAACATTAGGAATGGCCAAATCAACAGTTTGGTACATTCTGAGAAAAAGAATGCACTGGTGAGCTCTGCAACACAAAAAGTTCTGGATGTCCACAAAACATCAGTGCTGGATGATCATATAGTCCTTTAAATGGTCACTATCCAAGTCTACCCTAAATAGAAGACTTCACGCGAGCAAATACAGAGGGTTCACCACATGGTGCAAACCATTCACAAGAATAGAAAGGCCAGATTAGACTATGCCAAAAATGTCTATACATCTATCAAAGACAGCCCAGTTCTGGAACACACTTCTTTGGACAGATGCTACTAAGATCAAACTGTACAGAAAAAAAGTCTAGAGAAGGCTTGGAATGGATGAAGCACACCATATCATCTGTAAAACACGGTGGAGGCAGTGTGATGACATGGGTATGCATGGTTACCATTGGCACTGGGTCACTAGTGTTTATTGATGATGTGACAGAAGCAGCTGGATTAATTCTGGAGTGTGTGGGGACAAATTGTCTGGTCAGATTCACCCAAATTCAGTGAAGTTGATTGGAAAGAGATTCACTTTACAGATGGACAATGACCTAAAACATACTGCAAACGCAACTCAGGAGATTTTTAAGGCAAAGAAGTGGAATATTCTGCAATGGCCAAGTCAATCACCTGATTTCAACCCAATCGAGCATGCATTTCACTTGCTGAAGAATAAACTTGAGGCAGATAGACCCATGAACAAATACCAACTGAAGACGGCTACAGTAAAGGCTTGGAAGGCATGATGATGTCTAGATATGTGCAATTCGTTTCGATCTGAATTTAAATTTAGACGAATTTTGCCGAATTTCCGAAGTGAAATTCTGAATTGCGGAAGTGCCAAACCAAACTGAATTTCCGATGTGCCGAATTGCAGAATTTCGAAAGTGCCGAACCGAATTGCCGAAGTGCTGAATTTTGGAAGTGCCGAAGTGCTTCTGATTTCTGAAAAGTGGCAAAACAGGAGAGGGAGGGAAAATTAAGGGAATGATGACAGGAATCTAACCCTCACCCTACCCCTACGCCTAACCCTACCCATAACCATACCCCTACTGCTAACCCTACCCCTACCCCTAACCCTACCCCTAACCCATAACCATACCCCTACTGCTAACCCTACCCCTACACCTACCCCAAGCCCTAACCCTTCACCTACCCCTAACCCCTAACCTTACCCCTAATACTACCCCTCACCTAACCCTACACCTACCCCTAGCCCTAAATCCTAACCCTACCCCTAACCCTAGTAGGGTTAGGGGTAGGGTTAGGGTTAGGGGTAAGGTTAGGGTATTGCCAAAATCCCAAATTGGCGAAGTCCCAAATTTTGGAAGTGCAGAACTGAACCAAATGAAGTGCCAAATTGCTGAAAGTCCGAATTGCAAACGTCCCGAATTGCCGATGTCCTGAATTTCGGAAGTGCCGAACTAAACCAAATTTTTGGCCCATGCACATCCCTAATGATGTCCATGCCTTCCAGACTTCAAGCAGCCATTGCCTGCAAATGTTTCTCGACAAAGTATTCAAAACTAACATCTTATTTATGATTGTTTTAATTTTCAATTGTCCATGAGCCCCTGAAATAAGGGGAATGTAATTGTAATTAAAGCTAAAAATCTGCACTTCAATTTAATCTTGTTTGTTTCATTTCAGATCCATTGTGGTGGCATACATAGCCAAAATTATGAAAATTGTGTCAGTTTCCACATATTTCCAGACATAACTGTATACATTACTATGAGAGAGAGACTCTGTCACTGACTCAGTTATCACAAATGACAACCTAGCTTGAGTTATGAATGTCATGATCATTGGCAGACACCTCCAGGGACATCATACATACTCATTGTATTGACATCGTGGTTAGTCTCAGATACCTTAGTGCACCCACAAATATCTCAGAGGACCAATCAAGAGCGTGAGGCAATTGAAAGCAAAAGCCATCAATCCATGTTCAAACCCACTCAGTGCTGGGCTATTAAAAATCCTGCATAATGTCTGCCTGCTGCCTTACTTCTGCAGAACTGCCACCCTAACACTTTGTTATTTGAATTGTTAGAAGAATTGTTTGAGACTGTAGTCCATGATAATTTTCCAGTCTTATCATGCTGGTGGCTCTAGGATCAATTGACTCCCTGACTCCATGACACAACTTCCGTTTTTATGGCATAAAATGTTTGTGGATACTGTCCCTCATATTTGTGTTTAGATCAGCAACAAAACTGCCAGCATTGCATTGGGGCCGCCACACTGGGGGCCCATTGGGTGGCCTATGCACTTACCACCCAATAGGTATCTTGAACAGAGGCTCAGGCACAGCGGCCCTTTAACAGCGTGACAGGGCCCATGTCCAATCACTGATGCTGGGAGAAAGCAAGTGCATTTGATTTCTTCCCACATTTAGAGGGAGCTACATGGGAGGGAGACAGCAAGCACAGAAGTGGGGGAGGAGCAAGGAGAGTTCCAACCCCATGCCCACACTCCTATCAGACTCAGCCAGCAAAAGGACCTCAGGCAAACTGCAAAAGGTATGTTAACAAGAGTGTGGCTAAAAATATTAAAACAATTATTACATGTATGTGTGTGAGTGTGTATGTGTGTACCTGTGTGTGTGTGTCTGTATATGAGTGAGTGTGTATGTGTCAGTGTGTGTATCTCTGTGTATATGTCTGTGAGTGAGTATGTATATGTCAATGTTTGTATCTGAGTATCTATGTGTCAGTGTGTGCATCTATATGTGTGTAACTGTGTTTGTTTATATCAGTGTGTATATGTGTGTGTGGTAATGTGTGTATTTGTATGTGTGTATTAATGAGTATCTGCATGTATTATGTATGTAGCAGTGTATTTGTGCATATATTCCCTCAATCAAATGCCAAGACTACATGGAAACACACTCCTATATTAAAATGACAAATTTATGCACAGACAACCCTTCATTCAAACACCAACTACACACAAAAGTGCACCTGCATTTAAAAGCTTACACTGCATACAAACAAACTCTCGCATTCAAATGCATACATAGAAGTACACCACTGCATTCCAGTGGCAATGCTACATAGAGGGCCAGATTAAGAGCCCAGTGGGCCTGGTGCTGACAATTCTGACGGGCCTTCTCTCTGCTGGAGAGAAAGAAAACAGCAGCTATAAGAAAACGCATACCCTAGGCTAATCTCTCTCTAATTTATGTTTTCATCTGTCAAGTAAATCCATAACCCCTAACAGCAGTGTCCAGTCAAGCAGAAAGTCAATGGGCATGGTAAAAGGGTGTGCCACTGACACAAATCACATAACCTGCCGAAAGGAGGGAACATGCCCAAAAGAGGACATGTCTGCTCAAAGAATTAGAAGGCCAGCCTGGCATGAATGCATGTCAGGCTGCCTGCCAATCATGCAGCTGGCCAACTAAGGACATACTATGCAGACAGCACCCTGAGCTTGGCATAAATGCATCTAATGATGCGCTCACTCAACGCTTTCTAAGGACTGTCCCCTACCACTCGCTGGTCCACTTGTCTCCTTACCTTCTTACTAGCAGGCAGAAGTTTCTGGTATATGGTCTGGGACAGAGAAAAGCTGTATGTAGTGAGTGTAGAAGAAAGGGAACATGCCACAGTGTTAGAGAGACCAAAGTCAGCATTACCTTAAAGGATCACTATAGGGTCAGGAACACAAACATGAATTCATGACCCTACAGTGTTAACACCACCATCTAGCCCCCCTGGGCCCCTCATAAATATAGTAAAATCCTACTTTATTCAAGCTTGAAGCTGTAACTCTGCATGCTGTTAGACTCATAAAAACAAGCAGTCTGCTGATATCATTAGAAGTGGTGGCCTAATCCAATCACAGTGCTTCCCCATAGGATTGGCTGAGAGTGACAAAGAGGCAGATCAGGGTCAGAGCCAGCATGATTCAAACACATCCCTGGCCAATCAGCATCTCCTTATATAGATGAATTTAATTAATGAATCTCTATGAGGAAAGTTCAGTGTCTGCATGCAGAGGGAGGAGACACTGAATGTTTGGATGCATTTTAGGCAGCCATGACCCAGGAAGGATCTCTAAGTCATCTAAATAGTGACCAGTGAAGTTATCACTAGGATGTAATGTAAAGACTGCATTTTCTCTGAAAAGACAGTGTTTACAGCAAAAAGCCTGACGGTAATAATTCTACTCACCAGAACAAATTCAATAAGCTGTAGTTGTTCTGGTGACTATAGTGTCCCTTTAACTATATTCATTGTCAGCCAGTCCACACAAGTTTTGTTCCCATACATCCCTCTTAAGTTTCCATACTTAAGTAAGAGTATGTGAAAAGTAGTTAGGGTTGCCACCTTTCTTGGAAAAACATACCGGCCTTACTAATTTGCATAATTAAATATATGTGGGTGACATCACATGATGTAAATCACAAGGAGTGACATAAGAGAAAATGCTGTAAAATCACCAAAAAACTACTTAGTTTAAATCTGCTGTATAGATGGATTCCTCCCAGTGCCCCCATGTCTCCCAGTGCCCTCATGACTCAGTGCCCCCATGTGTCGATTACTCCAGGTCTCAGTGTTCCTATGCATCAGTGCCTCAGTGCCCCATGTCTCCCAGTGTCCCCTAGTGTTGTGTCCCCAGGTCTCCCAGTGATCCTATGTATCAGTGTTTCAATGCCCCATGTCTCCCCGTGTCCCCATATATCCCAGGGTCCCCATGTCACTAGGACACTAGGAAGACGGGGAGGCCTGGGGACACGGGGAGACCTAGGGACATGGAGACACCAGTGATGCTGGGAGACAAGGAGACTCTGGCTGGGACACATGGGGACAATGAGAAAATAAGGGACACTTGAAGACATGGGGACACAGACACCAGGGACAAAGACACTAGAGACACTGGCTGGGGGACATGGGGACACTGAGACATGGGGGCACTGGGAGACATGGGGACACTGAGACACCAGGGCCACAGACACTAGGGACACTAGCTTGGGGACATTGTGACACTTGAGGCACTGAGAGACATGGAGGCACAAGGAGACACGGGGACAGTGAGACACTGGAAGACTGGGGGCACTGTGTCCCCATGTGTCTGTGTTATAATGTCCCCCAATATCCCTTAGTGTCTCAGTGTCTGCCATAATATCTCCCATTGCCCCTTAATGTCTCAGTGTCTGCCATAATGTCTCCCAGTGTCCCTTAGTGTTTCAGTGTCTGCCATGTCTCCCAGTGCCCCTTAGTGTCTGACATAATGTCTCCCAGTGTCCCTTAGTGTCTCAGTGTCTGCCATAATGTCTCCCAGTGCCCCTTAGTGTCTCAGTGTTTGCCATAATGTCTCCCAGTGCCCTTAGTGCCTCAGTGTCTGCCATAATGTCTCCCAGTGTCCCTTAGTGTCTCAGTGTCTGCCATAATGTCTCCCAGTGTCCCTTAGTGTCCCAGTGTCTGCCATAATGTCTCCCAATGTCCCTTAGTGTCCCAGTGTCCCTTAGTGTCTCAGTGTCTGCCATAATGTCTCCCAATGTCCCTTAGTGTCTCTGTGTCTGCCATAATGTCTCCCAGTGTCCCTTAGTGTCTCAATGTCTGCCATAATGTCTCTCAGTTCCCCTTAGTGTCTCAGTGTCTGCCATAATGTCTCCCAATGTCCCTTAGTGTCTCTGTGTCTGCCATAATGTCTCCCAGTGTCCCTTAGTGTCTCAGTGTCTGCCATAATGGCTCCCAATGTCCCTTAGTGTCTCTGTGTCTGCCATAATGTCTCCCAGTGTCCCTTAGTGTCTCAGTGTCTGCCATAATGTCTCCCAATGTCCCTTAGTGTCTCAGTGTCTGCCATAATGTCTCCCAGTGTCCCTTAGTGTCTCAGTGTCTGCCATAATGTCTCCCAGTGCCCCTTAGTGTCTCAGTGTCTGCCATAATGTCTCCCAGTGTCCCTTAGTGTCCCAGTGTATGCCATAATGTCTCCCAATGTCCCTTAGTGTCTCAGTGTTGCCATAATGTCTCCCAGTGTCCCTTAGTGTCCCAGTGTCTGCCATAATGTCTCCCAATGTCCCTTAGTGTCTCAGTGTCTGCCATAATGTCTCCCAATGTCCCTTAGTGTCTCTGTGTCTGCCATAATGTCTCCCAGTGTCCCTTAGTGTCTCAGTGTCTGCCATAATGTCTCCCAGTGTCCCTTAGTGTCTCAGTGTCTGCCATAATGTCTCCCAATGTCCCTTAGTGTCCCAGTGTCTGCCATAATGTCTCCCAATGTCCCTTAGTGTCTCTGTGTCTGCCATAATGTCTCCCAATGTCCCTTAGTGTCTCAGAGTCTGCCATAATGTCTCCCAGTGTCCCTTAGTGTCTCAGTGTCTGCCATAATGTCTCCCAATGTCCCTTAGTGTCTCTGTGTCTGCCATAATGTCTCCCAGTGTCCCTTAGTGTCTCAGCGTCTGCCATAATGTCTCCCAGTGTCCCTTAGTGTCTCAGTGTCTGCCATAATGTCTCCCAATGTCCCTTAGTGTCTCAGTGTCCCCATGTCTCCCAATGTCCCTTAGTGTCTCAGTGTATGTCTCCTTGCAGCCTTTCCCCCCATCCCTTACTTCCCTGAGCTGTAGGCTGTCTCTGCAGGGTGGGAGCTGCTGTCTGGACTCTACGTAGCTGCACCCCTGCAGATCAGTGAGTATAGATAGGCAGGGAGGGATATGCTGGAACTTCCTATCCCTGCCTCTCTCAACACACAGTGACCCCTACTGGCCAGTGCTGGTATTGCAGAGTAATCTCTTGTTTACACTGAGAAAAATACCAGCATTTGTATTGCCAGTATCACTGCAATATTTGCACCAGCCAGGCAGCCTCAAATACTGGCTGTGCCAATAAAATAAAAGCCAGGTAGAATCCCTAAGAGTAGTGTGTGAAAAAAAAAAATGTTATTTTTTTTTTTAAATCAATGGGCCTATTCCATGGGCCTGGGCCTGGGCCTGGGCCTGGGCCTGGGCCTGGAGCTGCAGCTCCATCAGCCCCTATGTTAATCTGGCCCTAGCTACATACAAATGCACCCCTACATGCATACTCACATACCCCATACAAAAATGTAATTACATTCATACACACAAACACAACTCATACATACAACTCTGAAGGATGGGCAAATAGTTGATTCCCAGCTGGCATAGCTTCATGTGAGTTTATAACATTCGGGCATCTACCTTTTGGCCACACTTGTGCTATATAAGGGGGCCCAAAAATGTCTTGCACCAGGGCCCTCACTACATTAGTTCTGACTAAGATGAAAGGCTGTGGGCACTGGAAGTGGGTTAGTCCAACACAACCTATAATTGATGCCCAGAGTTTAATGGGTTAATGTACCAGTTCACTTTTGCATTAACCAAGCCATAGAAGAGATAAAGGGCAGTTGGTACCTGTTTTGTCAAAAAACATTGACTGTGATGGCAAAAGTGAAAAACTAAGGTCTGTGGAAAGAGTCCATAGAGCTTTGCTTTAGACTTTCAATGAAATTCCAACACAGTATCCAGTCAGGGTAATCAGGGTTTCAGATCCCATTGATCTTCAATTAGCAGAGGATTTCTGGTGAAACATCGCAGGGTGTCCCTTAAACCTGCCACAAGCATGAGAAGGAAAACACACTCTCTCTCTCTCTCTCTGTGTGACTGAGCTGAGTACTATGACAGATAGTCATGCAGCAGCAGCTTTGAATGTGTCTGATCACACACAGGGATACATGCTGGAACCGGGTCTGATCACACAATAAGGTTCATTAGGTTCCAGAGGAGGATACAGGGAGACCAGATAGTGAACACACATATGACAAAAATAGACAACCAACTGAACCAGGAGGTCATAAAAAAAAAGAAAAATAATTGTCGTAAAAATTTGAACATTGGAAGCAAATTTAGCAGCTTATGGCAGTTGTAAGAGGTGAAAAGATTAGTTCCCAGGTGTCAACAATTGTCAATCAATCTGTTAGATTTGCTCTTTACGTTACTAACACAGACCTTAAACCATATCATCCTGAAACACTGATTTTTCTGTAAGGAGCACCTATAAATTGCTTCTAGAGTTACTTTACAAACATTGCTATGCAATGATTGCTTCCCGTCCCAGCAGCTAAGAGGTTACACCATCAAGCTGAGCTAAGAGAGTTCATAGCTTTTGTAAGTAGACCTGGCTCTGTTCCTGAGATGGTTGGTTGGAAAACAGAGTCTGTAGCACAGCTGGGACCCTGTCAGGAAACAACAGAATCAAGAACAAAAAGTCTTTCACCGGGACACCGACTCCACAAGACCTTATGTTCCCAATAACTGTGCAGGTCAACAGCCAGGGATTCATCCACGGCGGAGGGGAAAGCCTCCTCATAATTATTCATTATATCGCACAGAACAAAAGGCCCCAGATCAAGAGCCATCACACATAAAGACGTGTATCCTAGCAGTCCCTTTGCCAACGCCCTATTTCTTCAGAAAACAAGGCAGCCCAGCCCAGAGGTAGCGTGGGACATCATCAAATCAAAGAGAGGGGATTTAGTACAATCAGCCAAATTGGCTGTTGCAGCTGAACTGGTCATTAGCGACCTATAGAGTTTCATTTCCATCTGGTCTCCAATGACATACACATTCCAGAAGCCTGATGAGTCCAATAGCAGAATGTTTTGGAGCGGTGCTGGGTAGACGGTCTGTTTTCTCAAGCACGAACGCCTGCAGATTGTGGCCATAGAGCATTGGCATGCCAGGGCTGTAATGGGCCTCATTAGTCTGATCTCTTCTGTAGCCCGGAGGGGGGAGTGCGTGAAAGATGGAATGATCTTGTAATATGGAGCATCAGCCACATTTTAACCCTTTTGCTGCTGGTGTCTCATAACAGAGCAATTTTTTAAAAAATATTAGAAGCCCACCCATTATTAATTATGCAGCTTGAAGAAATAGATGCCAAATAAAAATATTCAGGAAGACAACACTTTGGCAAATGTTGCTGACAAAATGGGCAAATGTGAATCGCATCTATAATCAATAATTCTAGTCTTAAAAATCAACATTTTACCCTAAATATCCTTTCAACCATTAAAAAAAACTTAACATGATAAATTGAAAAGGGGTTAAGATGTTACTTTTTTGTCCTATGGAAAATTATTTTGCATGATAAAAAAAAAATGCATCCAGAATAATTATATATTTTGACATCATAATTCTTGGAGGGGCGAAGAGGGATTTTTTTTAAATGAACGTGATGTGATCTGCTGCTTGAGAAATTGTAAGGCTGGGAGTTCTCGATTACAGT